ACACTTTTTTTATTAAAACACTATGACTGGTTAGGTGAATTAATAGTGAAGAATGCAATGCTCTGTATTGAAGTCATTGTAATGGGATTGAAGGGGATTTTTGTACATTCTAGAAAATCAAAAAATCACATTCATATGTTGGAATACGTTTTCAAGTGTATGTATTGTTCCACTGCATTTTCATGTGTTCTCTCTCCATCTTCTGATGTTGCAGAACTGGAACAAACGTACAGTTAATGAAAGTCAGAGAAGTGTCATGTTTCCACATTTCTATACTTGTTTTAAATCAGTGGGGTTGATTTACTAAAGGCAAAAAAGGCTGTTCACATTACAAGGGAATTTGCTCTTTGCAGGGGAAGTTTCCCCTTAGACAAAATTACAGATCCTTGTGCAGAAAAATTACCTCAAAAATATATCTATTTCAATTGTATATTTAGTTGTTTCCCTGGAGTTCTACATAAACGTGTATACTTTTTACAGCAGGCATGAAAAGAATAGAACTGTTCAGTAATTTAAAATAAACCTGAACAATCTAAGCACTAGGCATTTCAATTTAGTTTAGTTTCAAATGGATGATCGTAAAAATTTAGTTAAATTCTGACATTTGGATGCATCTGAATTTCTGAATTAGAACACAGCCGAATGCGAATAAATCTAAATGTTCATTTAACGAAAATTGGGAGCCATCTGAATTTTGTTCTAAACTAAATCGGACATGTGGCTGTTCTCTGGTCAATCAGTTTTTTAGCTGCTGGGGGCTGCATTACAGGCTCGGTCATATGACTTCCTGTTGTGGATCTTTCCGAAACAAAAATTTAGACGGATACGAAATCCGGAAAAAGAACTGAATCGAATTTCGAATCCAAAAAACAAAAGAAATAAAAATCCGAATTGATCCAAAATTAAACAAATTCTATGCTGGATTACATGTCTATTAAGCACCCATATGTGTCATCTAAGTCCTGTTCTAGGTTCTGAAGCCTGGAGTCTTTAGACAGCTTTGGGTGTGATGAAGCCCCCATCCCTAGGTCCAGATCTTACCCTGTAGCTCACTGATGCTCATGGTTCTCTCTTTCTTGCTCTCTCTGCTGTGGGTGCCTTCTTCTGATGTTGCAGAACTGGAACAAACGTACAGTTAATGAAAGTCAGAGAAGTGTCATGTTTCCACATTTCTATACTTGTTTTAAATCAGTGGGGTTGATTTACTAAAGGCAAAAAAGGCTGTTCACATTACAAGGGAATTTGCTCTTTGCAGGGGAAGTTTCCCCTTAGTTTAGTGAATGTGGTGAAACTCTTCTGACTTTCATCACCCAAACATGTGCATTAGTTTTTGTGGTTTCCTTGCACATGATTGGGATTCTTTGCACAGTGAATTTAACTACATTTACTAAGCTAAGGGAAACTTCCATTGCAAAGTGCAAAAACCCATATGAGACCCCTGCCTAGGATAAGGGTCTGGCATTGATTTTGTGGGGACCACACTTCTTTTTTTTACTTTTTTACATTTATCTAACTATTTAATTTTGTGAGACTGGAGTGCCCTGTAATTTTACATACTTTTAAAGGGGCGGTGACTGAAAAAAGGTTGAGAAAGTAGAAACCTTGGTATTAAACAAACGTGTCTGCAAAATGTCTGCACAAACCACAAGCAAGTTACAAGTTGAAGTGTGAACATCCTCTGTCTATTTAGGTACAGAAAGACATGTAAAAGAGAGGGCAATGTATACCACAAAAGAGGACAGTGTGAACAGTGGAAAAAAATTAATTAAAGATGACCTTTTATTATGATCACATTGAAATATGCCGCCTGTAAATAAGATTCTATCTCAACTTAAAATAAACACCACAAGACTTTATACACTATTTAACCCCTTCATGACTGAGGCCTTTTTTTTCCATTTTTTACACCCATGTTATATTCCACATTTTAGGCCTGAAATATAATTAAAACCCCCAAACACTATATATTTTCTGAGAGCCAAGACCCAATAGAATAAAATGGTGGCAGTTGCAAATTTTTATGTTGCACAATATTAGTGCAACTCCTTATCAAATTCCAAACTTTAGTGGAAAATGTACTTAAATGCCCCAAAACACAATAGACACCACTTTAAAAGCCCCCACAGGTTATCAGTATAGAGATACCATAAAATACTGGCCCTAGAATTATTGCTCTCACTTTGGCGTGCGCGGCGATACCTAACATGTGTAGCGCGTTTTCATACGTAGGCACACCCGGCACGTGTTTACGTGGCGACGCGTGTGCTTGCGGGGGCGGGGACTTTAAAAAAATGTTTTTTATTATTTTTAGATTTATTTTATGCAATGTTAATTTTAAAAACTGTTATATTAATTTTTTTTACTTTAATTTCTATCACATAGTGGGGCTTACAAGCCGATGGTGGTGACAGGTACTCTTTAAGGTGATGCTGGGGGTCCAAAAGACCCCCAGTGTCCCATTTACACTCCAAATAAGCTATTGAAGTGCAGATCGCACTTCAGTAGCTTATAGCTGGGCTTCAGGAGCCCAGAACTGACAGCTATGGGACCGGAAGTGATGCAATCTGCATTGCTCCCGGTCCCATAGAACGGGGAGGGGATCGCCGAACGGAGGTTCGTTAATCTCCTCCCCGCTGACACCAGAGAAGCCGGTCCCGGGCCTATAGGAGGGGCAACGGAGCCCGGGATGCACGGCGGGGGTGTCGGGCGGGGGGGACCCCTTTACCGGGCCGTAGAACCAATCTGGCTGAGTCGCCAGAATCACTTCTATTGTAAAGCCGACAGTCGGGTTTACAAGTTTAAACAGAGTTTAAACAGCCCCGACGTTGTTAGTCGTTAGGGATTAATGTGCATAATATGTTATTATATCTCCTTTGTTTATCTTTAAAACTGGACTCCATGCACAATAACATCCATATACTGTAAATATATTCCTCAGTCATTACAAAGGATATAAATCCACTTTGTGTGCACCAAATGCCTTTGCAGTCCCAGGTATTAGCTTAAAAAAGCAGCCCTGGCACCATCACTGTGATGTACATAGTCTGCAGTGAGCTGAGACTGCTCCCCCACAACAGTCTGCCTGCAGAAAACTACAGTAGGGGGCAGATACAAGACCAGTCACCCTGTATAACGAGAAGAAACAGCAGTGCCTGGTCTATATTACAGGAAGTTCCTGCACAGAGGCAAAGTGTCACCCTGGATTACTGCACAAATCTGGAAGAAATACACACTTCACACCAAGATTCAAACAAGAATACACATGCCTCTTCTATTCAAACAATATTTTCTAAGCTTAGAGTTCAGCCTTAATAATAAAATGCATGATGTTCATAGCAGCTACATTTAGTTGCTGTATAAGACAACAAAATGTGTAAAGAATAGGTGCACTTTTTGCTCCTCTTCTCTGACCTAAGCCAGCTCACCCTTCCCCTCCCCAGACACACACCTTGATCTGGAAGCAGAAGCCTCATCTGTTTGTTTATATGCTGTTGCGAATCTCCAGTTCCACCACATCCCAAAGGTGCTCTATTGGATTGAGATCTGGTGACTGTGGAGGCCATTGAGTAGAGTGAACTCATTGTCATGATTAAGAAACCAGTTTGAGATTATGTGAACTTTGTGACATGGTGCCTTACGCTGCTGGAAGTAGCCATCAGAAGATGGGTACACTGTAGTCATAAAGGGATGGACATGGTCAGCAATAATACTTAGGTAGGCCGTGGTGTTTAAACGATGCTCAATTGGTACCAAGGGGCCCAAAGTGTGCCAAGAAAATATCCCCCACACCATTACACCACCACCAACCTGAACCATTGATACAAGGCAGGATGGACCAATGCTTTCATGTTGTTTGCAGCAAATTCTGACCCTACCATCTGAATGTCGCACCTGAAATCGAGACTCATCAGACCAGACAAAGTTTTTTAAATCTTCTACAGTATTGTCCAATTTTGGTGAGTCTGTGCGAATTGTAGCCTCTCGTTTCCTGTTCTTAGCTGACAGGAGTGGCACCCGGTGTGGTCTTCTGCTGCTGTAGCCCATCTGATTCAAGGTTCGACATGTTCTGCGTTCAGAGATGGTATTCTGCATACCTCGGATGTAACGAGTGGTCATTTGAGTTACTGTTGCCCTTCTATCATCTCGAACCAGTCTGCCCATTCTCCTCTGACCTCTTACATCAACAAGGCATTTTCGTCCACACAACTGCCGCTCACTGGATATTTTCTCTTTTTCAGACCCTAGAGATGGTTGTGCGTGAAAATCCCAGTAGATCAGCAGTTTTTGAAATACTCAAACCAGCCCGTCTGGCACCAAAAACCATGCCACGTTCAAAGTCACTTAAATCCCCTTTCCTCCCCATTCTGATGCTCTGTTTGAACTTCAGCAAGTCTTCTCCACATCTAGATGCCTAAATGCATTGCGTTGCTGCCATGTGATTGGCTAATTAGCAATTTGTGTTACCAAGCAATTGAACAGGTGTACCTAATAAAGTGGCCGGTGAGTGTGTATACTGTATATATTTTGGATTCCCTCTAGATTTTCCATATATAGCCCTTCTCTACATATTCCTTTTTCTACAGTAGGTAGGGCTGTATAAAATAAAATAAAAGGAAAAAAACAGACATTCTCATAATAGCTAAAGTAGATAGGTAGTCCTGAGAAAGCACATGCAAAGGTCTCACAACTAGTATCCATTGGAGAAAAAGAGTACCAGTAATGGAAATAAATGAATTCATTTTTATTGTTAAAAAAAGTTTGACCACCATTGTAAAAAAAACGGACGGACGGCAAGCTCCTATTAGCGAGGCGCTGTAAATATACTGCTTTTTTTTCTGCTCGTGCACGAGCAGAAGAAACTGCAAGCTGTACACAGCCAGTAATAGGTGTTATACATACAAGCAATCAGTGGCTCTATAGCCGTCCGATGGCTTGTATGTGCGGCCCTGCACTGTGCGCTCTCACCCCCCTGCATCGCCGCCCCCCTCCAAAGCCCTTACCTTCCATCCCGGGCTCCGCTGTCCCCTCTGCGGGCCCGGGACCGGCTCGGGCGGGTGTCAGCAGGATGATGGGAGGGAGATCACCATCTTCCTCCTTGTTGATCTCCTCTCTGATCTCTGAATGCGGAAATTATGTATATTGCATCACTTCCGCATTCAGCTGTCATTTCTCTGGCTGCTATGGCCAGAGAAGAAGCTGGTGAAGCAGATCTAGGGTTGCCACCTTTTCTTCAAGCGAAACCCGAACACTCTAGCGACGCGCAAACATTTTTCGGGGAGAATGAGTCGTGGCTTATTCATAAGTCAATAGTGCCACGCATTCATATGTAAATATCACAGTTGAGACTATTTTCAGTGGGGGGCCAGTAGCCCCTATCTTAATTTTGGTTGCCCCTATCTGCCTGACATCTTGTGTCCGGGTTTCTGCTGCCATGAAACCTGGACACAGCATTCAAAACCCGAACTGTCCAGGTGAATCCTGGACAGGTGGCAACCCTAAGCAGATCTCTGCTTCATCAGCTTCTTTGGGGGTCCCCAGGTAACATTAGGGGTCTTAGATACCCCTAATGTCTGCATAAAGAGGACCTCTCAGTGTGCCTGTGCTATCACATAGGAGGATTGTAGCCCCCTATGTGATGGCAATAACATTAAAGGGGTTATTCACAAAGCTGCCAAAGGCAGCCGAGTGAATAACCCAGCCAAAGTGAAGTGAGCCAAACAATGTTCGGCTGTTCACTCCGGCTCAGTGCGGCTGCACTTCGGCTGCACTTCAGCCGAGCCGAAGTGCTGAAGGACTTCGACTCTGCCGATCCAACATCTGGATCGGCTGAGCCGAAGCTCCGGCAGCTCACTCGCTGCCATTCGCCCCTATTCACATAGGGGCCGAATAGCAGAGTGAATAGCCAAATGTCGCCCCGCTTCGGCTGACACTTCGGCTCAGACGAGCCGAAGCA